CCCCCCCCAGCCGCAGCAGCTGCGCCAGCATCTGCCGCTGCAGCATTTACCGCAGCAGCAGCAGCAGCAGCAGCAGCAGCAGCAGCAGCAGCAAATTTGTTTTGTGTGTAGTCCCCCAACGGCGAGCTGCGGCTAATTGACTTCGAGTACTCCGGGGCAAACGCGAGGGCTTTCGATGTGGCCAATTTGTTCTGCGAGGCCACCCTAGACTACAACGCAAACCCTCGTAAACCCTAAACCCTAAACCCTAAACCCTAGGTCGCGGGGGTGGCGTGGGCGGGGTCGAAACCCTAGGCCCAAGGCTCGGCTGCGGGGGGCACCAAACGCTAAACCCTAGACCGCAAGGGCTAAACCCTAAACGCTAGGCTTGGGACGCCAAAGCGTAAACCCTAAAAAAGGGTTTGGGGTGCTGCTGCTGCTGCAGAGTGGCCCTTCTACAGCTACCTGCCGCAGCAAATGCCGAACGAGGAGCTGCGCAGACACCTGATTGAGGTGTACATACACCAGACCATTGCCCGCCAGGGTTTATCTCATCTTAAAGAAAAACTTGTGACTCAGGAAACCCTCAACCGCTTCTACGTTGTCGTAAGCAAACCCTAAACCCTAAATCCCAAACCCTAAACCCTCAGCGGCGCCAGCGCGCCTGCAGGGAGGCGGGCAGCCGCAGGGGGGCGCGACCGGGGCTGCGATTTCGGGATTAGGGTTTAGGGTTTGGGGTTTAGGGCTTAGGGTCTAGGGTTTGGGGTTTAGGGTCTAGGGTTTAGGGTTTAGGGTTTAGGGTTTAGGGTTTGGGGTGCTTTCCTCAGGTGGAGCACATGATGTTGGTGTCTCATTTAGTCTGGGCTTTCTGGTCAATCGTTCGGTGAGCAAACCCTAAACCCTAAACCCTAATTTTAAATCCACTCTCCGTAAGCCCTAAACTCTAAACCCTAAACCCTAATGAATAGCCGCAACAAATCGACGCAGAGCTATTTGTAAACGCTAAACCCTAATGCTAAACCCTAGCTAAACCCAACCAAACCCTAACTAAACCCCAGCCAAACCCTAGCTAAGCCCTAGCCAAACCCTAGCTAAACCCTAGCTAAACCCTTTCGGGGTTTGGGGTTTTGTTCAGGACAAAGGTGCCTGAAGACCCAGAGTCCTTCTCTTATCTTGACTACGCCAAAACTAGGTGAGGGTTGTGCATGCGAGGGTTTAGGGTTTGGCGAGGGTTTAGGGTTTAGCGAGGGTTTACGGCGGGAGTCTAGGGTTTTGAGGGGCGTTAGGGTTCGCTGAGGGTTTAGTGTTGGGCACAGCTTAAGGGTTTGACGAGGGTTTAGGGTTTGGCGAGGGGTTAGGGTTTGGCGAGGGGTTAGGGTTTGGCGAGGGTTTAGGGTTTGTTCTATGCGGCTGCAGGCTAGAGCTTTACAGCGAGAAGAAAAAGGAGATGTTGGCGAGTGGCATTATCTAAACCCTAAACTCTCATCTCGAAACCCTAAACCCTCGCGTGCAAACCCTAAACCCTCGTTTGTAATCCCCAAACCCTCGCTTATAAACCCTAAACCCTCGCGTGTGTTGCGAGCGGCTTTCGCTGTGTTTTTTGTAGTAGAAAGGTTTGGCTGGGGCGGCCTAGGCGCCGCAAACCCTAAACCCTAAACCCTAAACCCTCGAGCTGCAAAAGTGGCTGATGGCAGTGCGTGAAATCTATACAGCTCGCAGCTTCCGGTGTTCCTGCTGCTGCTGCTGCTGCAGCTGCTGTGTAAAGAAAATTAATTATAAGTCAGAGTTTCAAATAAGTTTGCTGCTGCAGCAAATCAGCAAAACCATTTATCGTTTCTAGTTGGTGTTTTGTGCCAACGCTGGGCCGAAACCCTAAACCCCAATTTAGGGTTTGGCTTCCCGCCGTCCCGCGGCCTCAAGGATTTTCCTCTGGCTGAATTCTTTTGCCCCTTTCGAAGGCTTGCACTGTACAGGCCCCCCATAGCGCTAGGGTTTAGGGTTTAGGGTTTAGGGTTTGGAGTCAAAATTCGCTGAAGTGGCTAGACCCAGACCCTATAGGGTTTCGAAAGCCTCCCCCCTGCTGGGGGGCCCCCTGGGGGCCCCCCAGGGGGCCCTG